AAAGTCCACTTCCAGGTATGTCTCTGTTGTCACTGGTAGACAGTGTGTGGAGACAGAGTCCTGATCCATGTTGATTTATCCTAGCAAGCCAGCAGTAGCTTTTTGGTGGGGTAGTGGATAATCTCCGTGAGCCTGTACCTTCTGGCAGAGAGCAGACTTATTCAGCCTGCAGCCATCAGTGCACCTTCTATGGGCCTGAGCCCAGCTGGGAGGTGCTAGATGGAGCCAGCAGCCTCCCTGAATTCTGAGCTGGTTGGTTTATCTCTTAAGATTGCTCCTGGCCAGTCATTCTCTCCTGTGGGATGACTGAGCCCTCAGCACTCAGCACCAGCTAGTGCAGTCCTTCACGTCCGCTGCTCCCTTGCACTCCTCCCATCCGCTCCTGTGTCTCCCTGTGGAGGCCTCTGGGGTTGCCAGCAGTCACCATGTGTCTGCAGGTTTGAACTGCTCCTCTTGCACAGTGAGTCCTGTCTCAGGGAGAAGGCACACTGCTGGCTACCTCTTTCCTCTTCATTGAAGTTTCTGTCTTTATTCTCTCTCTTTGGCTTCATTTTGTACTTCAGATCCTTCCTAGGTCCAGGGGACCCACTTCCTTCTCTCTTGTCTTCCTCACGTTGTTATTGTCTGGATAGCAACACTCAGGCTTTTTGTCATCTTAGTGCCTCCTACCCTTTTCTAGTTTCTGAAGGTGGATGCTTAGGTCATTTATCTGGGTCCTTTCTTTTCTAACGTAAGCATGAATGCTATGATATACTGTATTTTCATTTTTGTGCAAAGTAATTTTCTAGTTTCCCTTAGATTTTTTCTCTTTGAACTCATGTGATACTTAGAAGTTTGCATCTGTCAGATTTTTTTTTTTTTTTTTGAGACAGGATCTTGCTGTGTTGTGCAGGCTGGCCTTGAACTCACAGTGATCCTCTTGCCTCAGCCTCTCAACTGCTATGGTTAAACGCGTGAGCCACCAAGTCTGGCTATTTTGTTATACCTTTCACAGTTTTTTTTGGGCAGTGCTGGAGATTGGAATCCAAGGCCTGGCACATGCTAGGCAAATACTCTACCACAGAGCTACATCCTCAACCTGAATATGTACTTTTTATAATTTCAAACCTTTTTAAAAGGTTTTAAGATTAGTTTTATGACCTTGTATTTGTTACTATTTATGTATTCTTGACATGAATGCGTATTTTTTCCATTGTTGAGTAGAGTGTTTTATAAACAATGTTTATTTCTATTTTGTTGATAATATTGTTCAGTTCTTATAAATTCTTGATAGTCTTCTTTCCGAAAGTTCTATTACTGAAACAGGAGTGTTGAAGCTTCCCAGTATGTATTTTGAAGTTCAAGTATTAGATGCATTCATATTTAAAATTAGAATTATGTGTTGGTGAATTGACTCTGTTGTCACTAAATAATAATGCTCTTTATTCCTGTTAAATTTTTTTGTTTTGAAGTTTGCTTTCTATGGCATTAACGTAGCCATGGTAACTTCATTTTGATTGGTGTCTTCATTGTATCTAATTTTTCCATAAAATGTTTGAGTTGATTTTTACATGGACAACATAGTATTGAGCCTTTAAAAATATAAATTTTGACACTATATTTTAATTGGTGTATTTAGATCATATATGTTTAATATAATTTTGGGTGTGTTTGTATATAAGCCCATTGTGTTACTTGGTTCTGGTGAGGTTTTAATTTCTATTTGTTAAATTTTCTGGTTGGTGGTACTTGGTATCTTCTGTTTGCTGATACGTTGTTTCAAAATTTGACTGTAATTGCTAATTTGAGCAGTTGGTAATAACTGCTTTAAAGTGTTCATGAGATAGTGCTAGCTTCTGTATCATTTTATCATGGGCCTATGTTGAATTTTTCTTTTTTTTTTTCTTCTTTTCTTGTTCTTTTTGTAGTTCAGCCTGGCCTTGAACTCACTGTGCAACCCAGGCTGGTCTTGAATTCCTGGTGATCTCTTGCCTCAGTTTCCTGATTGCTGGAATTACAGGTGTGCGCCACTATGGCCAGCTTGTATTTTTGCAGATTTGGAATGTTTGTAGTTCTTCATGTACCAAGTAATTTTGGATTACTTCCTGGACTTTCTGAATACTATGAGATTGTGGGTTTTAAAAACACAGAGAACATTGATATTTTTTGGCTTAGGTGGCCCTTGGCCTGAGTAGGTGTAGACTAGAAGTTTTAACTGCCCCTCTGTGGACTGTGGTCACGTCTGCTTAGTTTTCAGAGCCCTTGTAGTACCGTTCCGTATGTATGGTTTGTGCAGTACCGAGTAGTTAGCGCTTGGCCAATGGTCAGCTAGCTCAGTTCTCAAGGTGTTTGCTGTCCTGATTATACCAACCTGGGTCAGGTTCATCCATGGGCAGGCTGGTAGTGGGAGAGCCCAGGAGAGGACAGGCCATCTCTGTCTTTCAGCACGCAGGCTGAGGTGTGGGGCTGCACTGAGTTCAGGCCAGAGGATATTGTGGATGGAATAGTGAACTCATACACTTTGGCAGTTTGAATTCTGATGTCTGTTCCTGATCAACCTGCTGCTATAATGTTCAGGAAACACAAGTCCTTGCTCTGTGTATTATTTTAAAAATTGAACATATCAATAGGATACTATTTGTTTTTTTTTGGGGGGGGGATATACCTGTACATTATGTAAATGTTCAAATTGGGATAAGCATATGTCCTGAAACATTTTCTGTCTGTCTGCCCACCTGCCCACGCATCTGTCTGTCTTTCTGTCTTTTTGAGACAGTGTTTCTCTATGCAGTTCAGGCTGGCCTTGAACTGACAGTGATCCTCCTGAGTGCTGGGATTAACAGGTGTGCATCACCATACCTGGCCACATTTATTGTATTTATTGTTTCTTTGTAGTAAAAACATTCAAAATCCTTTTGTAAAAGCTTTAAAGAAGTACATAGTATATTATCTGTAGTCACCCTTTCTGTGTGATGAAACATCAGATCTTTTTTATTATTTGTACATATTTGCGATACATCATGCTCACATTCATCATAGGGAATTTGTACCTGTACATAATATATCTTAATTCTTTTTTCCTTGTTCACCTCCCCCCTTAACCATTCTTCCCTTCTGCATTTACAGAATCTTTGTTTACATTTTTTCTTTCCATTCCTTTTAAATCCCTTTTCTCTTCCTTTTGTCCCATTCCCACCTCTTTTGTTCTCCTCATCTGAACATATTCTCCCTACTTGTCAGTGTCTTATCTTCCATTTTGCTCATTTACCCTTAGAGTTATGGTCTCAAGAGGCATCAATTTACATACGAATGACTTACGTTTATCCTTCTTTATGGCAGAGTAGTATTCCATTATAGATAAATACCACATTTTCTTTATCCATTTATCTATTGAAGGACACATGGGCTGTTTCCAGGACTTAGCTCTTTTAAATTGTGCTGCTATAAATATGAGTATTCGTGTATCATTGCATTGTGATGCTTTCAGGAAGATGCCTGGAAGGGGAATAACTGAGTCAAATGGAACCTCTAGTTTTAGTTTTTTGAGGAATCTACACACTGATTTCTATAGTGGTTGTACTAGTTTACACTCACCAACAATGGGGAAGTGTTCCTTTTTCACCACAGCTTTGCCACCATTTATTATTGGTTGATTTCTTGATGATAGCTATTCTTTGTAGAATGAGATGGAATCTCAGTGTTTTTTTAAATTAACATCTCTTGAATGACCAGTGTAGTTGAACATTTTTTCATATATTTATTTTCCGTTTGTATGTCTTGATCTGAGAGAAGTCTGTTTAATTTATTTTTTTATTTTTTGTCTTTTTGAGACACAGTCTTGCTATGCAGTTCAGGCTGGCCTTGAGCTCACTTTGTAGCACAGGCTGGTCTTGAACTTACAGTGATCCTCCTGCCTCAGCCTCCCGAATGCTGGGATTACAGGTGTGCACCCCCACACCCAGTTGTTTGTCTTTCATGATGACTATTATTTTCAGCATCTAGGCCAATCTGTAGAATGTCCCATAATGTGTACTTTTATTTCCACAGGTTTAGATTCAGGTTGGATAGTTGTGGGAAATACTGCAAAGTTGATCTTGTGTGTGTCCTTCTTGGGGAATGATTTGTTTTGTTTTTGCTTTTTTTTTTTCTAATTTTCAAAACAATTTTATTTAATAAATCCAATTTATCAAATGAATTCTTTCTAAATAGGTTGAGAGTAAAAGATAAATGGATAGAAAGCCATGTATGCACTCAGAGAGCAGAAGAAAGAAGAGGCAAAACATTATATATGGTTTTAGAGACAAAGCAGAATGAGCACACATTCCATCTAAGATTTCTGATTTCTGATTTCTGATTTCTTTGACTGTTCTCCTGGGTACTGGCTGCCTCCAAACAGAGATCTGCCTGACAGAAGTCACAGGCATTCTCCTTAAAAGCCACAAAATACCCAAAATGACAGTCGTCGGGACAGAAATACCTTGAAAAAAACAAGCCAAGGCCAATTACAGGATCTTGGATTTGAATGACTGCACGGTTGCATGAGTAACTGTCAATCCAAAAAAAGAGCACAATCTCCACAAGAAAAACTTTCTACGGATTTACTTGCAGGCCTCAAGTCAGAGAGACCAGGGCGCTAGTAGGGGAGCACCAGCAATCAGACTCAGTATAAATGAATTCGAAAGTTTATTAGTTACAGAAAAAAACCAGATTCTTCAAAATCAATTCTTGTTTAAGTTCCCTGTAAAATAAGCTTACAGAAAATTTCTTTCTCATGAAGAGAAAATTCACTGTACTTTTGGTCCAAGATATGTTGGGTTTTTTTCCTTCTTCTTCGGATGACAGATGGATGTAGCCGAATCTACGAATGAGTGTGCTTGCCCCAGATGTGCAACATAAATGCAGAAACGATGAACAGAAGACTCATAACCAGTACTGGAACAGGGCCAACTTTAAGCCTGGGTGAATCTTCGTGTAAAATCGCCACATCCCCCCAGTGCCTGTTGAGGTTGTGTGGCCTGTGCTCCTTGTTCCACAGCTGGCATTGTTCCGCTGCCGGACCATGGATCCCGCCATCCGAGCGGCAACTGCTTTGCTGGGAGAACACCCCGAGGAGCCCACGTTAGTGCCACTGGGAGTCGGATGGTGCATGCTGGAGGATGGAGAAACACAAGGCGCTAGACAGGACCACAGAAAGATCGCTCAGCGAGAGCTTGTTTTGTTTTTTTGTTTTGAGACAGGTCTCCCTATGTAGGGTGGGCCTCAAACTTGCAGCAATCCTCCTGCCTCATCCTCCCAAGAACTGGGATTGGTACAGTAAAATAGAAACTCCCAACCTGAACGATATCTGGAATGAGTTCATATTCTCTAAAATCAAAGAATGAATTTTAGGAACAGCAGAGGTTAAGAGAAGAATATATTTATTGAGGGAAAGAAAACTTCTGTTCAAGAGAGGGACAGAAGGGAGTCCCAAGTGGGTTGCCCCGTGTCTGTTCATTTTAGATGCCCATTTTTGGATTGGATCTTTGAATTTGGGGTGGGGGGTATTCTGATGTTTTTGAGTTCTTTGTATCTTCTAGATATGTCCTTTGAGAAGTAGCTGCTAAAATTTTTTCCCCATTCTTTGAGCTGTCTCTTCAGTCTGCTGATGGTTTCTTCCTCCCTCCCCC